TTGCTCAACAAGACAGGAAGAAAGAAAGAAAGGTTTAGCATCGATAGATGTTTTTCAGTACATGAGGGGCTTTCAAAAAAAATAGGGAGTCAACTATTCTCCAAAATACTTGAGTCTAGGACATAAAATACTTGAGTCTAGCCCACTGTAACAACATTGCCAAAAAGGCATTAAGAGTTGTTAACCTAATCTTGCATAGCTTCTTCTCTGGTAATGTTGTACTACTAACTAGAGCATACAAAACATTTGCTAGACCAATTCTTGAATACAGCTCAACTGTCTAGAACCCGCACTGCATATCGGACATAAATACAAACAATAGAGTCCAGAGATATTTTATGAGAAGAGTCCTCCACTCCTCTATCCACAATAAAATACCTTAGACTTCAAATTTTGGGCTTAGACAACTTAGAACTACGCCGACTTCAGTCTGACCTAAGCATAGTACATTGTTGTGACTCCAACCCCGGTGCTCGTATTATCAGAGGTAGAAGACTTCGAAAGTGAAGGAGAGGAGTTGGCAAGGCCTCCCTCTCCAGGACCCTCCTCTCTGGCAATGCCTCAGGTGTCCTCTGAAGGCCAAGAGATAGGCCAGGAGCCAGGCACTTCCGAGCAGCTGCAGTTAGATAGCGATGGAGATGAGTCTTGGCTGGATCCCCGACAGCATTGGAAAGATAAGGGCGCGTAGAGGTGTGCCAGAGATTAAGATGAGTCACTGGACCACACCCCACCGGGGATAAAAGGGGGTGTGGTTGCCATTCAGGCCTTGTGGCAGACAAAACTGAAAAGCTAGCAAGTCATACTGCATTTCGGGAACTTTGTTATATGCCCTCCTTGGATTTATTATGGACTGAACTTGACAATTCTTTGGCTTTGTGGACATGTTTTGGTGTCTCGGACGGAGGAGAAAAACCTCCCTTTGTGAGTAAAGTCTTTGGCAGGCAGCTACTGGGTTGCTGCCAATTCTGTTATCTCAAGGGAATTCCTGACTGCTGGTTTTATTAACTCCTGGCTGACTGTTTGTGTGTGTATGTGTGAGACGGGGACAGAACATACATAAAATTATCTGCCACAATGTCCTTCCTGTCAATGACTACTTCAGCTTCAACCACAACAATACACGAGCAAATAATAGATACAAACTCAAGGTAAACCGCTCCAAACTCGATTGCAGAAAATATGACTTCAGCAACAGAGTGGTCAATGCCTGGAATGCACTACCTGACTCTGTAGTTTCTTCCCCAAACCCCCAAAACTTTAACCTTAAACTGTCTACTGTTGACCTCACCCCATTCCTAAGAGGTCTGTAAGGGGCGTCCCTCTCCTAATATTCCTTTTTACTTACTCTTTTCATGTATTCAAATTATGTTTATACTTTTACCTGTTATCTTATATATGCTTGACAAATAAACTTATGATGATGATGAAGATGTAATGGGTGGAAGCTCATTAAAGAGAGATCCAACCTACAACTAAGGAAACATTTCTTGACAGTGAGAACAATCAATCAATGGAATAGCTTGCCTTCCAGAATTGTAGGTGCTCCATTGCTGAAGGCTTGGACCAGGATAGTGGAAGATCTCCTACCTAGAGTAAGGGGCTGAACCAGGGGTGAAATTAAAAAATTTCCCCTACCGGTTCTGTGGGTGTGGCTTGTTTGGGGGAGGTCATGTGACTGGGTGGGCGTGGCCAACTCGACATCACTCACATCGAGGGGCTCCTCACCGGCCCGTCCCCTCCCAGCCACTCCTTGTTGCGAATGGCAGGAAAATGGGGAGGAGAATATTCCTGCCTACCATCCTTCCCTCAGTCTGTGCTGAGACTGAGGAATGGATGACAGGCAGGAAAATCCCCTTCCCCATTTTCCTGCCTTTCACAAAAATGGCTCCATTCCAGATGCTCCCCGTCATTGAACATTGAATTCTGTGGACTATCAAGTGGCCGGAAGAGGTGAGTGGCAACCGGCTGGGGGTGGGTGGGGCCAAGGAGGGGTAATTACTACTGGTTCGGTGAACTGATGCCCATAATCCCTAGTGGTTCGCCCGAACTGGTCCGAATCAGTAGGATTTCACCCCTGGGCTGGACTAGAAGAGACTCCTTCTAGCCTAATGGTTCTATGATTTTAGAGCCAAACTGCAGAAGATAGTAGCTCTTATTTGCAAGATGCTGGTGACCAGTAGAGGGCAGCAAAGGAATAGAATTGCGTGAAATTCTTTGCTGCCATCTAATGGCCATCCAAAAAGTCACAAGTAAGCGAAGTGAGTCCTTCATGTTCAGAATCATAAGATTTCATGATGGACTATCTAAAAAATCTCTTCATCATATAGAATTAAATTACTATGTGCTTTTTATGGATACGCTACAGAGGATCTATGGCTTTCTAACCTAGTCATACTTTATCAACAACTGTATTTTTTCTCTTTCGGAAACCCTATAAATTTCTCCAATGAAATAGTTGAACCAAACAAGAGACATTTTTCAATGAAAGAATATCTCCTTAAAAATAAAATAAAATCATATCTGAAAGATGAAAAACACTAAAATATATATGTGCGTCTGTGTTTGAGTGTAAATTTCCTGTAATATAATGAGAAAAGTTTTTTTTCCACATTCAAGTAAGTCCATTGATTATGAACAAAAGTCTTATTATGTTTATTATATTTCTTACTTGTCTATGAATCAAATCCTTAGAACAAATTTAAGAGTATATTATTAATCGTGTCTCCTGTGTCTATTATTAGAAAGACTGCTACATTTTATATTATAATCTATTCATCACTGGGGTATAGATTCTTTTTTTAAAACATTCTATCCCCTTAATTAAGTGCTTTGCTCGCCTTCCTTTATCTGTTGCCTATGACAGCTAACGAAATGTGATCCTAAGAAAATCAGTCAAGTGAATACCAAGAAATTTATAAATTTGATTTGCAAATAGCAACTTCGGAGGAAGTATGAGGCTCCAACCCCTGAGTGGGACAAAATAAGCATGAATGTTTGAATGCTTAGTTGTAATTTTGCTGGAAAAAGTTATTGCCTTCAACCTTCCAGGCATGTGCTAATAATGTGGTACTCTTGAGATTTTCCAGCACCTCATGTTCCATAAAGGATGCAAATTCCACCCACACAAAACTTAATTAAGATGAGACGGCGCAAGACCGTGCTCTGAAGTGTTCATAGAGTTAGCAAGGAAGTCTTCAGTGTGGTTAAATGTTAAATTCTGAACAGTTTAGAATTGTAACTGATTTGGCCCTTTTTAAAAAATAGTCCTCACTGTCATATATTTTTATTTATAAGGATAATCATTATGGCAGATTCCATGATATGCTAATGACAGTTGTTTCGGTGTTGTGTTGAAGCGTGACGCATCACTGCTTTGGTTTCTCCCAATTTTCTATTTCAGCCCCGTTTCTTCCCAAACTTCCACTAGGCCTGTTTTTCGCCCTCTGCGAGTGTCCGCGAGCCTCCTTGAGCCTCTGCGCGCACCCTGCACTTACCCGCATCCAAAACAGGCTGCATGGGGACTCCTGGGAGGGGCGGGTTGGGGTGGGAGCCAGGAGTGGGATTTGGGGGTTCTCTAAACTGGACAGAATCTTAGCTAGAGGTTCTGCCGAACCCCTGCGAACCTCCAGAAGCCCACCCCTGGATTGATCCTATCGACACTTTATCAATTATTGGTTTGTCTGAAAGGGAGACAAAAACGTCTGTTTCATATTTCATCGGGCAATGTTTATTCCTCACTTAATAACAAAGAAAACTTTTGCTTATAAAGCGGGAATTCCAAAAACTTCCAAATCCTCTTCCCGAACGCTTAAGTGTTTCCATATTTTGTTGATGACACAGATTAGGTCTACCCTAGGTTGCTTGAGAAATTGCTACATTTTAATTTTATTATTTATGTGTTCCAAATATTTTTTTTCCTGTTGCCTTTTGAGACATCTGATCAAGCCAAGCAGAAAAACATGCAAGGATTAAGATAAAATAAAATGGATGTTCCACTTACTTAAAAGCAGAGTAGATCAGCCGATTTCACAAGAGCCTTGCGGGGAAAAAAAACATTCTGAAGCTGTGGGACCTACAAGACATCCGCCATCTTGCCTGGTTTGAAACATGCACACCACAACTCTGGATGGAACTTTGCTTACAGCTGCACAGATATTTGAGGTACTGTCTGGTTCTAGAATCTAGATCTAGAAATCTGTGTTACTTGGGCTGTTAACTCCCACCCCTTTTTTTTGTGACGGGCCCTCGTGTACTGAAAGACAGCTATTGATGCTCAAATCTAGCCCAGACTTTAGGATAGGATGGGGTAGGGTAGGGTAGGGTAGGGTAGGGTAGGACAGGACAGGACAGGACAGGACAGGATAGGATAACAAAACAGAACAGAACAGAACAGAGCAGAGCAGAGCAGAGCAGAGCAGAGCAGAACAGAACAGAACAGAACAGAATAGAATAGAATAGAATAGAATAGCAGAGTTGGAAGGGACCTTAGAGGACTTCTAGTCCAACCCCCTGCTCAGGCAGGAAACCTTATATCATTTCAGACAAATGGTTGTCCAGTTGCTTCTTAAAAACGTCCAGTGTTCCAGAAGCTTCATATCACACGACAAATCACATACCAAATTCAATAGTAGTAACTTCTTCCAAGAAAATTCATCCTGGAAGAATGTTCAAAATTCTCATCAAATTTCAAGGCAGAATATTTTCTGCATACCCCGAAAAGTTTAGGTCCTTGCTGCACTTTCAGATCAGGGGTGGGTTCTACTTACCTTTACTACCGGTTCACAATGGGGCCGCGCGCACGCGATTGCTTTGCTCACGCACGCTCTTTGCCCCGACATTCTGATGATGTCGGAGTTGGTGGGCGGAGCCTCCCGCCAGTTTTACTACCGGTTCTATAGAACCGGTGCGAACCGGGGGCAACCCACCACTGTTTCAGATCAGAAAGGCAAGGAGGAGAGATCATCCTGAAGAAGGTGGTTTATGGACTACGTGGTCTCTACAAGTTGGCACCAACTTTGATGGGCATAATCACTTGCTGAAATTTTTCTGAATTCTTTGGGTAAGCAAAGGGGAGAATTCCAAGACTGTTTCTGCAAAGCAGGAGGTAGGATTTGTTAACTGTTACCTTCCTGTTGAAGTGCGGAAGTGGCTTCCTTTTCTGTAAAATGCTTTGCTGCCTTCTTGAGGATTTTGTTATAATAGAAGAACTCAGTGGTGAAATCTGAACCGGTTTGCTATCGGTTTGCTGGCCGTACGTACATGTTGTGCGCCAAGCACGCGCTGTGCATGTGTGTACATGCGCAATTCACACCAAACGTGTGCACAGTACACACCAAAAGGAGGCATGGGAAGATAAGTAGAACAATGACGGGGTGGGGAAATCAGCTGTGGCACACAATCTTGGGAACCTTTTTAAAATGGAATTTTAATGGAATAAAATGGAATTTTAATTTGGAATGAGCTCCCCCCGGAGATACGGAGGATCCCGGATTTACGCACCTTCCACCGCGCCCTCAAGACCTTTTTATTCCAACAGGCTGGCCTGGCCTAACTTTCCCTTTTAAATGGTATATGAGAAATTTTAAATTTGTTTTAAATATGGGGATGTTTTTTAATTCGTCTTGGGCCAAATTGTTTAATACGTTTTTATACTGTTTTAAATTTTATAATCTGTGTGTTTTATCTTTTTGGCTGTTCACCGCCCTGAGTCCTTCGGGAATAGGACGGTATATAAATCTAATAAAATAAAATAAAATAAAATAAATAAAAAACTTTTTTAAAGCATTTTTTACTACTGGTTCAGGTGAATAAGGTGAATAGGGTGAATTCTATTCTATTTATGCTAAACCATGGTTCCTTCAATCGTGCTTTGTTGAATAACACACAGCTGTAGCTAGACTTCCACAACATGCTAAGTCATAAATTACAGTTTATAACCTAGAAAAATATGTCATTGGGACCTAGTTTATGAGTCCTTATAATCTGTTGAACCAAGTCCAGACAACATTATGATTTAATGGGGCATCTGAACTGTTCCAACAGTTGTGTGTTGTGATAGTCCGTATTTTGATGTCATAATGTCAGCTCAAATGCCATGATTGATGTACACAGGAACACAAAGGTGTAATTTATCTATCTATCTATCTATCTATCTATCTATCTATCTATCTATCTATCTATCTATCTATCTATCTATCGGTTCGATTTATATGCCACCCTTTTCCGGAGACTCAGGGCGGCTTACAATGCGTTAAGCAATAGCCTTCATACTTTTGTATATACCTGCTTAGTAGGGCTTTCGCCCCCCCCCCCAGCGGTGTTCTTTTTTATACAAAGTCAGCTTATGGCCCCACAAACCGGGTCCTCATTTTACCTACTAATTGCTGCCTATGTTATCACCACAGTGTTTCGAATCATGGTTGGAAAAATCTAGCTTCGACCACAAAGCTCCCAGGGTCTCTTTCTCTCAGTCTACTTCACAAAGTTATTGTGAAGTTGAAATTAGAGGGCAATCTCATATATGCTGGTTTTGCTCTCAGGGTAGAAATGGAGTAAGAAATGGAACAAATTATACCTCTCTCACACATACAGTAGGGGCCAAAATTGTGGAAACTTTTTGGGAAACGTGTTATTTTCTAAAACTACCGTATTTTTCGGAGTATAAGACTCACTGGAGTATAAGATGCACCTTAGTTTTTGGGGAGGAAAATAAGAAAAAAGCTGATTGGTGGGTGGATCGGCCTTCCGGAATACCGCCAATCAGCTGTTTCCAGAGGTGAATTTTAGCAACAGGTTTGTTGGTTGTGAGCTCTGTGCCTTGCTTTTTTTTTCTGCCTCTGAAGCTTCTGAAACTCGGTTTCAGAAAAAACTTGTTTTTCTGCCTCTGAAAGCCTCCGAAACAGAGCTTCAGAAAAAAAGGCTTTTTTTCTGAAGCTCTGCTTGGAGGCTTTTTTCCTGAAGCTTCTTTCAGAGGTTTTTATTCTGAAGGACTATCTGTACTCTGTTCAATCTCCTTTCTTTGGTATTGGTATGTAGATTAACCTCTTCCAATCTGTTGGTTATTGTGTCATTCTCCAGATTTGTTAGCATAGTTTGGTTAGAACCTTTACTGATTCTTCTTTTCTTGCTTGCCATATTATTATAGATAAAAGCCTTTCTGAGGCTTTTTTTCTGAAGCTTCTTTCAGAGTCTTCTTTCAGCTTCTGAAATCTCCGTTTGCGAGGCTGGACGGGGCTACATTCGGAATATAAGACACACCCAGATTTTCACCTCTTTTTTGGGGGGAAAAAGTTGTGTCTTATACTCTGAAAAATACGGTAGCTAATAACACCCTTTTTTGGGGAATAGCGCCATAAAGTTATATATCAATAGAAAGATAATTTAATCAAGAATGTAATGCCATAACTCTTATGAATGCTTTGCTATTAGAATAGCAGTTACAGTATAAAGAAGAAAAGTGAAACACGTAGAAAAAACAAGATATACGAAAATGATCACCATAGAAAAAAACGAGATATGCAAAAATGATCACCATGTCAGTTAATTATTAGTTGGATAACCTTTAGCATGAATTACGGCCTTACAACGTCTTCCCATGGAGTGAACCAAGTCTTTTAGTTCTGCAGCTGTTATAATGTGAAACCAAGATTGAATGATTGCCTCTATTAACCGGGTTTTATAGCTGGGTGGCTTCTGACTTAACAAGTTTCTTTAGTGGCTCCATAGATTTTTCAATTGGGTTATTCCCAGGCCCTCCCAGCAGTGGAATAGGATTATCATGAAACTCCAAAAAAAAAATAAAAAAAAATGGTGTTATTAGCCATCAAACCTCAAAAATACACTTTCCCCAAAACGTTTCCACAATTTTCGCCACTACTGTACACACACACATATATAAGCTTGGCTGACGTGTAATGACCTGGACACGCTTCTTCAAAGCCAACTCCTTTGAACTTTGTGATGAGTGCATTTTTGATGGGAGCGTCAGTTGAAAAGAAAAATTAGTGGCATTGTTTGTGTCAAAAAATGATTCCTAGTTTCAGAGGAAGGAAAAGCTTATTTTGGAGTTGTTTGGTGTCCTTGTCATCCAGTTAATTGGAGTAATTATACACTTCCCATGGATTTTTAGGAGCGGTGCACCTGGAGTGACACCGAAGTTAGAACTATTATTTCAAGTATATTTGCCAGATTTCTTCCTGTGTTTATTTATTTTATTTTTTTTAGTTAATAGAATGCATACATGTACTCCTGAGTCTATTACCACAGTTGCTAGCAAATGCTATAATTAATAGTAGTACTATTAATCAGTGGTGAAATCCAAAGGGTTTTTTTACTACCGGTTCTGTGGGTGTGGCTTGGTGGGCGTGGCTTGGTGGGCATGGCAGGGGAAGGATACTGCAAAATCTCCGTTCCCACCCCACTCCAGGGGAAGGATACTGCAAAATCCCCATTCCAGTGATGGGTTGCCCCTGGTTCGGACCGATTCTATAGAAACGGTAGTAAAACTGGCAGGAGGCTCCGCCCACTGACCCTGACATCATCAGAAGTGATCCCGTTGCGAACCGGTAGTAAAGGTAAGTAGAACCCATCCCTGCCCCATTCCCTCCCTACTCCTGGAGGAAGGATACTGCAAAATCTCCATTCCCACCCCACTCTGGAGCCAGCCAGAGGTGGTATTTGCCGGTTCACCGAACTACTCAAAATTTCCGCTGCCGGTTCTCTGAACTGCTCAAAATTTCCGCTACCAATTCTCCAAACTGCTCAAAATTTCCGCTACCGGTTCTCTGAACTACTCAAAATTTCCGCTACCAGTTCTCCGAACTGCTCAAAATTTCCGCTACCGGTTCTCCGAATTGCTCAAATTTTCCGCTACCGGTTCTCCAGAACCTGTCAGAACCTGCTGGATTTCAACCCTGCTATTAATTATGAAAATAAGATCTGCCACCTGGCGGTATAGAAGCTGCATTGGTATAGGAATTCATAGCCTCTGTGGAAACCATGGACCTGTGTCAATCCTTCAAGGTGGTCCTGACCAGGAAACTAAATTTATGGGTTCTAATACTAATTTTTATTACACGTAGTCCTCGACTTACAACAGTTCATTTAGTGACCATTCAAAGTTACAACAGCACTGAAAAAACTGACTTATGACCATTTTTCAGAGTAATGACCTTTCCGGCATCCCCATAATCACATGATCAAAATTCAGATGCTTGGCAACCGGTTCATATTTATGACCGTTGCAGTGTCCTGCGGCCATGGGTTCCCCTTTTGCCACCTTCGGACAAGCAATGGGGAAGCCAGATTCACTTAACAACTAGTAACTTACTCATTATAGTGATTCACTTAACAGCTGTGGCAAGAAAGGTCATAAAATGGGGGCAAAACTCACTTGTCAAATGTCTCACTTACTAACAGAAATTTTGGGCTCGGTTCTGGTTGTAAGTCGAGGACTGAACAGTAACGGAACCTTGAATGTCTGAATGCACTCTGCCCTCCTTGCCTTAACTTTCACGAGAACCAGAGTCCGTCAAGTCAGAGATGCTTCATCAAATTACATTCCTGTTTTACACACAGACTTCTTTTATCTGATCGCTGCCTTACGCACAACCAATCCAAACCCTAAAAAGAATTTCACTGCCATACATCAAGGATATCTCAGAAACCACCAACAGACTTCTACAACCACACGGAATCAGCGTAGCACACAAGCCAACTGTTCTGCCCCAGCTACGGACCCCAAAGAACGCAGCACACACTAAGTCCGTTCAAACCTTAGTTTACTGAATAAACCAGTCTTTTACAACAACGGCTGTTAATTAACTGCATTAACAGCCACCAAGAATTCAAAGAATAATAACTGAAAGCTTACTGTGGTTGGCAGAATGCCCAGAAGCAATTTGCAGGAAGCTGATAAGATAAGCAAGACAAGACACGAAGGTATGTGAACGAAGTTGTTCCCTGCAAATTGCTTCAGTCGGCGTTCCTCCTTAAATAGGCTAAGGGAGTGGCCAATTAGTCCCAAGCCTTACTCTTGAGGAGACCTCCTCCTGAGGAGCC